CCTCGAACAGAATCAAGGACTCGTTGACAACAATGTTCTTGAAAGGATAAAAGTAGGCAGTGAATTTTTGCTTCACATACATAACCAATTCCCAGATTTTGTGTAGTTCATTTCTGTTGGGCATATTCCTGTCTGAGAAGTGCAACATTCGTAGCAACAGAGTGAATCTGTTGCAGGGAAGGAGGTCACGGAAGACTGGAGTGCTGATGAAGTAGTCTGTGGACCAGTAGTGTGCTATATTGTTCTTATATGTATGTGGCATAAGCATGACAGTGCCAAGGAAGAAATATATTTCAGCCACAGTTGTATCCTTCCCCCTGTGCAGCCGTGACGATTCTGCAACAACTGTATAGTCCATTGTGTACCGATAGTAAATGTTGGTCTGGGTAACAATCAGGTTCATTATAGGCTCATCAGAGAATAGTTGGAAATAGTCTAACTCTGTAGATACATTTGTGATGGGACATTCAGGCCTGATGACACTTCCACTAACATCAAAATTGAAGAGATGTGGCACGAATCGTGTACTGTCTGTCTAGTTCCATTCGCAGTCACATGGTGCAGGGTGAACCTGTGGCATGGGGCGTGGGGGAGCAGGAGGGGGGATGGGAGTGGAGGCAGCACATGGTTGAGAGAGTGCTGGGCAGCCCTTTGTCTACCCACCTACCGTGCTGTAAGGTCCAGGCACCGTGCCACCAACCTCCTCTTCCTTCATCCCAGCATATTCTCCTTCATGATCACTATCAGTGGCTGGGGTTTTGGATCATGACCTGCCACCACCCTTGCTGCCGACTGCATATGGCATACTACTGCCTGAACGTAGGTGACAACGCCTAAAAGTACATTTCACTGGGGAATAATGCAATTCGCTTTCACTCGACGAATCCTCTATGGGCATAAAATCAATTTCATCATTGTCACTTACATCACTTTCACTATCGTCAACACCATAACGCATGGAAAATGATAATTTCCTCTTGCGGAGTTACCTTTGGGTAGTGACACTAGGAACCCCAGAAGTGCTGGGCTGAGGGTCTGTTGTGGTCACACTGGTCACATTAGCCACACTGGCCACCTCAGAAGTGCTGAGCTGAGGGTCTGTTATGGCCATACTATCCATACTGGCCACCCCAAAGGTGATGGGCTGAGGCTCATCTGGGTTATCATCAGTAGTTTCACTAATTCCTTGATCATTAGTGGCTATATCGGTGTCAGAATCACTTAACTCACATCCTTTATCACTTTCCGAGAATAGTAGTGTGTTAATATGACGAGGCATGAGTGAATCACGGGGGTTTGCCATGATGATGACCCAAGATCGAGCTGAAACTAACTGGTACTACTACGCGGTACACCGGCGTCTCTGATTTTTTCATACTACGCAGACCCATTCCCTCGTGTCTGGGTGACTCAGGCCTATCTCGCCAATTTTGAAGGAATGAAAAATAAAACATAGATCTATGTTCGGAGTGCTAGCGGTGCAAATGTAGATCTACATTTGGACAGTTTAAGGGTTAATTTTGTCATTTTCATTTAGTATTCATTTTTACAGTTTCTGTGTGTTGTATAATTTTATACATTGTTTTATGTAGTAGTTAATACATTATTATTAATAAATTATTTTGTCATTTTTGGAATGAATTAATTCTATTTACATTATTCTTGTAAAGTAAAAGGACACAAGTGAAACTAACGTGACATTTTATTGTGGCAACATTTCGCTCTCCAGGAGCTTTGTCAAGCTGATACAAACAGTATAGGGACACAGAGGGTATATAAAGGCTCAGAGTGAGGTGCAATACTAGTGAGGTACCATTTTGATGTTCACTAGTGGTAGTAGTAGTAGTGACAAAAGTTGTAGTAGTAATACAATATGGTAGAGCAATTAATTCGTACATGGGTAAAAGGATATAAAAGCTATTACATACTTGGGTAACAAAAATAGGTTGGACAAATATAGACTGAATAGAGAAGGCCTGTTTCAGTGTTCACTCTCTGTAATGTGCTTTGTGTAGTATAACAGGAGAGACTGTGTGATGGCAGGGTTTACTGTTTTCAGGAGGATTCTCGCTAAGACTTCAGAGATGGTGAAGCTGCCGTTGTTTTGTTTAATTGTATTCGAAACGGCGATCAGTGCTGATTCGAGGCACTTGCGTCTGCAGAAATTAGTTTCTTTGATCACTAATTGGGCGTCCCTGAATTTCATGAGATGATTGGTGGAATTTCGGTGTTGTACACAGGCGTTGTTCAAGTTATCGTTCCTACATGCGTAAATGTGTTCATTGAGGCGGGTGTCGAGGTTTCTTGCTGTTTCACCTACATAAATCTTGTCACAGCCTCCACAGGATATAGTGTAAACCCCTGCATTGACTGGATTGTGGTGCTTTGATTTTGTTCTGGTTAGATCCTTTATTGAAGTGCTAGAAGCGATAGCGACTCTGGTGTTAGCTTGTGAAAGTACTTTAGAAACGTTCAGTGCAACCTGGCTGTTGGGAAGAATTATAACTTTGTTGGGAGTGGTGTTGGTGCGTGGAGAATTAATGATCTGAAGAGCTCTTTTCTTGCAGTCTTGGATGAAAAAGGAAGGAAAATGTAACTCAGTGAAGGTTTGGTGAATGTATGTACATTCCTCGTCAAGAAACTCGGGTCTACAAATTCGGTATGCTGTTAGGAAAAACCCGGTGATGATGCCTCTTTTGGTCTTGGTATCTTGACTGGAATAGAAGTGTGTGAGATCATTTTTATTGGAAACCTACCAATAAAAATGATCTCTCTCACTTCTATTCCAGTCAAGATACCAAGACCAAAAGAGGCATCATCATCGGGTTTTTCCTAAGAGCATACCGAATTTGTAGTCCTGAGTTTCTTGACGAGGAATGTACATACATTCGCCAAACCTTCACTGAGTTACATTTTCCTTCCTTTTTCATCCAAGACTGCAAGAAAAGAGCTCTTCTCCATGCACCAACACCACTCCCAAGAAAGTTATAATTCTTCCCAACAGCCAGGTTGCACTGAACGTTTCTAAAGTACTTTCACAAGCTAACACCAGTCGCCATCGCTTCTAGCACTTCAATAAAGGATCTAACCAGGACAAAATCAAAGCACCACGATCCAGTCAATGCAGGGGTTTACACTATACCCTGTGGAGGCTGTGACAAGATTTATGTAGGTGAAACAGCAAGAAACCTCAACACCCGCCTCAATGAACACATTTACGCATGTAGGAACGATAACTTGAACAACGCCTGTGTACAACACCGAAATTCCACCAATCATCTCATGAAATTCAGGGACGCCCAATTAGTGATCAAAGAAACTAATTTCCGCAGACGCAAGTGCCTCGAATCAACACTGATCGCTGTTTCGAATACAATTAAACAAAACAACGGCAGCTTCACCATCTCTGAAGTCTTAGCGAGAATCCTCGTGAAAACAGTAAACCCTGCCATCACATAGTCTCTCCTGTTACACTACACAAAGCACATTACAGAGTGAACACTGAAACAGGCTGCCTCTATTCAGTCTATATTTGTCCAACCTATTTTTATGTTACCCAAGTACGCAATAGCTTTTATATCCTTTTACTCATGTACGAATTAATTGCTCTTCCATATTGTATTACTATTACAACTTTTTTTTTTTTTGCTGCTGCTGCTGCTGCTGCTGCTGCTGCCGCTGCCGCTGCTGCTCCTGCTCCTCCTCCTCCTCCTCCTCCTCCTCCTCCTCCTCCTCCTCCTCCTCGTACCTCACTCTGAGCCTTTTTTTATACCATCTGTGTCCATATACTGCTTGTATCGGCTTGACAAAGCTCCTGGAGAGCAAAACGTTGCCACAATAAAATGTCACACTAGTTGCACTTGTGTTCTTTTACTTTACATATTGTCGACAATTCTACCAACATTATTCTTAATGGGAAAAATTTATTTGGTTGTCAACCATTTTGGTTGTTGGACCGACATCTGGAATGAATTAAGTTAACAGCCGAGGTTTCACTGTAAATTGTAGACACTGTAATGACCCTATGAACACTAAACACTGACCATGGCAGTGCTGCAAGATCATGCCTTCATTTTCTCATTTGATTATGCTACTTTTCACAGTTCATTAATTATCACTAGCATATTCAACATTTGTATAAATACACCTAGGGTAAGTAAATAATTGAAAAGGGCATAGGAATGAGGAGATGCAGTAAAATTACAGGTTACTAACCTTCGTGTACTGAATTTTAGCTGTTTTCCCATAAACAATTTGCTTCATGCAAAATACAACATGCTCATCAAAAATATGCAATTTTTCAACTGTTACTGCAAAAGTGTTAAAAAATTGTGTTTAATCGAAGGCCTACTCTACATGATAGTGGATATTTTAGCGTAATTACTTATCGTTTTTAGATTTTATTTCAGAGGCTGCAGTTGGTGCTAAGTATAGGTATTTAATTGTTTTAAAATTAATTGTTCTGATCTGATGTTGGTTGTAGATCTCTGCAAATATTGTTTTCTAGAATATTCTGAATGGAATAAATTAGTCAATTTTTTTCTAATTTCAGTAATTGAGAATGAATGTTTAGTCTTTATTTTAAAGTTTCTTTGTTTTAGAAGTTGAGGGGCATTTTCAAAGTGTTTAATACATCAGCCATCTCCCACCAAGGTAGGGTGACCCTTTAAAAAAAAAAAAAAAAAATGTAGCTGTCTTGCCAGAAGTGCATAGTACATAATCATTTTTATAGCTACTTTATAAAGCAATCGAAATATGCTGTTCGAGCTTTGCTGATTCGTCTGATGGTTACCCATGATGCTACTGAGCATGTAGTATCATGCAACAGGTGTTACTGTAAATATCCATGATATATTTTAATTTTGTTTTTCTTGAAATGCTTTTGCCTTAGGTAAGCACCTTTCCCTCTCATGAGAGGATTAGAATAGCTTTTGTTTTAATATTGAAAAAAGGCCATGACAATACAGTAATTTATTTTTTTTTATTTTTATTCCTGATAGGAAGAAACAGGCTTTGTCAGGGAGTTCCAGAATTTGAGCCTCGGAAGACATGACAGCCAAGGTGGCAGAATTTTAAACCAAAGTAGTATGCCCATCAATATCATTGGGTACCAGTCTGTTCCAACCAGTCACTCCCATATAGGGTCATCTTTGCTAGGGGGACCCGATCTACCAGGCTCTCCGTCCAATAGTATATGGACTCCCTCTCCCGGTGTGGACAAACTACGACCAGTTATTCAACTTTCTCCGTCTAATGGTATGAGTCATACTTTAGGACAGATTCCTGGACTCTCCCAACCTGGCATCCCTCCATGTTTGGGCCTTCCAACAATCAAGACTGTAGATGAGGTTGAGGAGGAGATGAAACTTCAACATGCAAGGACGCAGTCATCTCTTACTCTTCAAATAAATGTAAGTGATCAAGTTACAGGCTACTGCCAAGAAAATGCAGTAATTATTCGCTTGTTTCTTGAAGTTTCAAACCTTTTGAATCTTAGAGGCTTAAATAGTATCTCGTCCTCATGGTTTTTGTTGTCAATATAATTGGGTTGTGATTGTTGCAGTATTCATTTTCCCCATCACTCCAATTTCTGCAAAATATCCTTTGGCCTGTTCTTCTCACAGACTTCAAAACTTTAAAGAGTTATAAATCTGCATATTGTCTTTGGGTGCCATGAAACACTTAAGAAAAGCAACCTGTCTGTATAACCTCTATAGCACCAAAATTTGATCCCTTAGGTCATTTTTTACCCCATTAGTAAGTGCTGTTTACCTCTTCTGTGCCTGAACACACAGGCTAACTCTAGCACCTACTTCAGACACTACTCAGGATATCACCCCTTCAACACGGAGAACTTGCATTGTTTACTAGCTTTCCAGTGTGCTGTCATTTCTTAATTCTTTTTAATACGTTCAGTTGAACCTACAGTGGACTTGAATTTTCGGTGTCAAAAGAGCTCTTTGTCATGGTGTGGTCATCACTTAGACATGCCCTTTCCAGTCTAAACTAACCCATATTCCCATAAAGATGTTTAATTTACCCTCGGTGCTTTTTCCCATCTTGTTCTGCCATCCACTTCTTATTTTGGGGCTGATAACTGTTCAACAGTTTCTACATCTAAGTGTCAGCTCTCATTCGCTGCTTACAACCCAGCCACACGTCGGTGCAGAAAGACTCAGTATCTTGCTTGAAAGAATGATGGGATTTTATATGACTAGAATAATTTTTTGGTTAGATTGTACTAAATTAGTTACAATGCCATAATGTAATTCAAAATTATACTGATATCACCCATTTACAGGGCCAGCGAAACTTTGGCAGTAACTGTCTTATTTACAAGGCCTATTCATAGTTTCTGTTCAACAGTTAACCCCTTGACTGTTGCAACCCCAAATCCTGAGGTGTCGCAAAATTTCTGAAAAAAAAAAAAAAAAATTATGAAATAGAGAATCTTTTCCCGATTGTAATGACACCAAAAGAACGAAATTTGATGAAAAACTGATGGAGTTACGCTCTCACGAAGTTAGCGATCTCAGCGATATTTATGAATCGGCGATTTTACCCACTTTGAGCCTTATTTTCGGCTAATTCCGTTGTTCCAGTCGACCAAACTCATAGCTATTTCTTTAGAACTCCATTTTTTCTATCAATTGAGTACAAGAAACTGCTCATTTACCGATTTCAACTACCCAATAACGTGGTCAGAAATTTGCAATTTGGCCAATTTCACGAAAATTAAAAAATATGACAATTTCAAAATAGGGTCCAGAATGAACAATGCAGACATTCCTGGCTCTAAAATAACATTTTCTTTGTTCATCAGTCATGTCTCTAGGCCCCTCTGATATTACTCTTGCTTTCTATTTTGAATTTTTATTCAAACAAAAAATAGAAGATTTACTGTTATGCAGACTACTGCAATATTGTAATAATTGTACAGATAATGTCAAGCCATTCATGACCGCATATTAGAATGGCTTCTTTGACATTTATTGGAAAATGACATCATTTGTTTACTTTTAAACATCGACAAAAATCAAACATTTCCCCTACTTTGAGCTCCATTTCAAGGTTCTTTTCATAGAGAAACCAATCGAAATCACCTCTATTTCTATAATGTGTTTTCCATTCTATCAAATGAGGCCAAGAAAACGAGAATACATCCATAAATACTATACGAAAATAGACCACAAAGTTGGCATTTTAATTTAAAAAAAACGGTCAGGTTTTTTTTTTTCTCATTTTGCACTGTGTGCTGCAGGATTTTTTTTATATGGTGCACACTGACCACTCAGACCCATTCTCTCACATGTGGGCCTACCAGCTTTCTCCTGCTTGATTTGAAGCCGTTAGAATTTGAGTATATATATGTCAAACATGGTGGCTCGTAAGACGTATATATACGATCGAAACAGTCAAAGGGTTAAAGGGAGTTTTTCAACCATGTCTGTCTAGATGTTCCTTAAGGGTTTCTTGGCTTATATTCCTACAGACTTGGCCTCTTCTCAAGTTTGTTCTTGCATGATGTTTCCTGCATGATCACAGTACTAGTCATTCAAGTATGCTGGGTTAAGGGATGTAGCACACATTAATATCAAAGTTAATACCTGGCTCTATTAGGTGTTTTGATGTGACTTGTCAGAATACCCTAAGGTCACTGGCCTCTTCCTCAGTGAATTTCAGGCTTGTGTAGTGGATAAATGTGTATCCATTGTCCTGCACCATGTGGTTTTGAGTGCTGAGTTTGTTGGACATTTTTGACTATAGACGAATTAATATGGGCAAGAATGAGTCGCTGACATGAGACAATTTCACAGATCATTGGATTACATTACGCAGGCCATCAAATGAAGGAAATTATAGAGCATGTGATCATTCAGTGAGGAACTTGTGACATTGGTTCTGGGCTGCTGTGAACTAGCTCCTTCACATGCTTATTACCAGTTCCAATACAGCCTCTTCTCACTTAACAACGGAGTTCCGTTGCTAAGACCATATCGGTAAACGAATTCATTGCCAAGCAAGGAGCTTAGTATAATGGTAGTGGGCTTATGTCAACCATCTTTGATATTGTTTTACTGTCACCTTAGCACCATTAATAACATTTTTAGTATATTTTTAAGTGTTTATACAGTACATAGTGTAATGTATATTGTAATACAGAATAGAGGAAATCAGCTCTAATATACATTATTTAGGTATGCATACTGGTCAGAGAGCCCATCGTAAGTCCGAGTCGTCAGTAAACTAGTACATCGCTAAATGAGGAGAGGCCCAAAATTAACCCTTTTACTGTCGAGGTCGTATATATACGTCTTACGAGGTACCATGTTTGACGTATATATACTCATAAATTCTAGCAGCTTCAAATCAAGCAAGAGAAAGCTGGTAGGCCCACATGTGAGAGAATGGGTCTGTGTGGTCAGTGTGCACCATATAAAAAAAATTCCTGGAGCATGCAGTGCATAGTGAGAAAAAAAAACTGACCGTTTTTTTTAAATTAAAATGCCGACTTTGTGGTGTATTTTCGTGTAGTGTTTATGGTTGTATTCTCGTTTTCTTGGTCTCATTTGATAGAATGGAAAACATATTATAGTAAGATTGATCTTACAATAAAAAGAACCTGGAAATGGAGCTCAAAGTAGGGGAAATGTTGGATTTTTGCTGATGCTCAAAAGTAAACAAATGATGTTATTATCCAATAAATGTTGAACTAGCCATTCTAATGTGTAGTTGTGAATGGGTTGATGTTATTTATAGAATTATTACAGTATTGCAGTAGTCTGCATAACAGTAAATTTTCTATTTTTTGTTTGAATAAAAATTCAAAATAGAAAGAAAGAGTAATATCAGAGGGGCTTGGAGACGTGACTGATGAACAAAGAAAATGTTATTTTAGAGCCAGGAATGTCTGCATTGTTCATTCTGGACCATATTTTGAAACTGTCATATTTTTTAATTTTCGTGAAATTGGCCAAATTGCAAATTTCTGACCACGTTATTGGGTAGTTGAAATCGGTAAATTGGCAGTTTCTTGTACTCAATCGATAGAAAAATGGAGCTCTAAAGAAACAGCTATGAGTTTGGTTGACTGGAACAATGGAATTAGCCTAAAATAGGGATCAAAGTGGGCGAAATCACCGATTTGTAAATGTCGCCGAGGCCGCTAACTTCGCGAGAGCGTAATTCCGTCAGTTTTCCATCAAATTTTGTGTTTTTGGTGTCATTACAATCGGGAAAAGATTCTCTTATCATTTCATAAGTTTTTTTTTTTTTTTTTTGAAATTTTGCGACACCAGGAGACACTTCAGGATTGGGGGTTGTGACAGTCAACGGGTTAAACACGCCTCTAATCTTGTATAATAATAATCTTGTATAATATGTCTCTTCTGTTGGGCCTTGTCTTGTCTGAGAAATATAGTATGTGCAACAATAGGATAATGTGTTGATGGGGGATGAGATCACTGAGTGCTGGGGTACATATAAGGCAGTCAGTCAACCAGCATGATGCAATATTGTGCTGATATACATGTGGCATAAACATAATTGAAGCAAAGAAGAGAGACCACAGTTTTGCTTTTCCAAAATAACAAAAAGGCACAATACCATGACTGGAACAATACACAATATCTCTCTTGTTCCTGTCAGTCTGCTGGCCTATATATACTCCCTCCTCCTCTGTGTTTGTGTGACTTTGAAAATGGTCAAAATTTGATACAAAAGTCGTTGTAAGCTCCTCTCTCCTATATGCAGGTTATTTGTGTATGCTTTTCCACTTGTGAAGCTGTCATTGGGATGTAATCAGTGTGTTTGCTGTCATTGTACACTTGAAGTATCTGTTGGTTTGTCACTTTCATTTGCATCGGGGGTTCATCGAAATAGTTCATAGAAATCAAGCTTAACAGAGTGTTTCCTAGGGATACAGTTTGGCTGGATTCCACTGTGTTGTCAAATTGATATAGATTGGTAACAAAATGTGCATTTTCTCTCCTGCCAGTATTAGATGCAGTCTGGTAGTGGTTGTTAGATATTTGCAGCTGGTTGAGGTCCGCGTCCCCACGCAGGCACCGTGAGCAGTTTAGCTTTGTTTATGCTTGAGTGAACACTAACCTGCGCTCTCATTCACGCATTTTACGATTATTTCGTTGTGTTTAGTGCTTTTGGGACTGTGAAATAAGCTGCCATGGGCCCAAAGAAACTTGCTAGTGGTACCCCTGTGGTAAAGAAAGTGAGAAACGTCATAGATGTGAAGAAGGAAATAATACAGAAGTATGAGAGTGGTGTGAGACTTGTTGAGCTTGCCAGGATGTATGGGAAAAACAAGTCGACCATCGGTTCTATCCTGTCAAAGAAAGAACAAATCAAGGAAGCTGATGTTGCGAAAGGTGTTAATATAGGGAGTGGATGAGGT